ACCTTGTTGTCTCGGATTCTCCAGCATCTGCAGTTCCTACTATCTCTCATAGCATGACTTCCCTGCTTTTGTAACCTAAGTCTCGGTTGATCAAGGCGAGTGTCCCTTATGCCTTTTTCAGCACCCATTCCACTTTCAGAGAACTATGGGCAAACATGCCAAGGCTGCTGTGTTCCACAGAACTTCCTAATGGCATGTCATCCATTGGAAGCTTCCTTGTCAAATTACCCCTTCCAAAGGGTGGTCCCTCACACTTCCCAGTGTGAAGTTTCATCTGCCCATTTGACCATCCCGTTTATATCTTCTTGTAGCCCAAAATCTCGCTGACCAATCTTTGTGTCATCCACAAACTTACTATTCCAACTCCCACCACCCAGTCATCTATGTCATTTAAAGAAATGACCATTAACAGAGGCCCAGCACAGACCTCTGTGAACGCTGGCTTACAGTCACTGAAGCAACCTTCTGTCGTCAACCCCTGCCTCCTCTTGAGCCAATTTAGAATATGCTTTATCACATTACCCCTGTATCCCAAGTCCGTTTGCCTTCTTGTGGGACCTTGTCAAAGGCTTTGACCAGATATTGGCACAAGATGGGCTGCCCCTGCCACTGATTTTAATTCGGAGGGAGGGTCACAACTCCTGCTTCCCCCCTCTCTCTGTCCGGGATGGTGAAACTGACAAGGGATGTTTGACTGAAAGGTTGGCTGGTGGACAAGTGGGCACACAGTCATATGCCCCAGGGTGAGGGATGGCAATGGCCCCTTTCAAGGGTTCGGTCTGGACGTGCCTCCCATACTGCTCTGACGTGGTTGCGCCTTCACTGCCCTGCAGACTGTTCGGGGGAGCCCCTCAGTCCTGACAACTGGTAGCCAAAACCCCATGAGCTGTTGTGCAGAGATGCTCAGCTCCTCAACTCACATTAGAGTTGCCAACAGTGCCCACATCCCGAGACTGAATCAGAGAGAAATGGCTCAGAGCTTTCAACTTAGACCATGAGCATGTGTGAACTAGGAACAGGAGTAGGCCATTCAGCCCCTCGAGCCTGGTCCACCATTTAATACGATGGTGGCTGAAATCATCTTGGCCTCAACTCCACCTCCTGCCCACCCTCCATAACCCTTCAGCCTTTCATTAATTAAAAATCTGCTCATCTCCCCCTTAAGTTTACTCAAGGTTTATCACTCTGCATCCAGCCAATTGAGCTTACCAACTCCCTTCAAAGTCAGATACTTTAGAGATTTTGAAACAACTCTTGGATAGGCACATGGAGGATAGTAAAATACAGGGTATGCAGGGTAGATTGATCTTAGTAGGATAATAGGTCGGCACAACATCGTGGGCCGAAGGGCCTGTACTGTTCTGTACTGTTCTATGTTCTATGTAAGTAATTTAAGAGTTAAGAGCAGCAATAGGCCATTCGGCCCATCGAGTCTGCTCTACCATTCAATGCGATCATGGCTCATCTGCTAACCCTCAATTCCACTTTCCTGCCTTTTCCCCAGAACGCCCTGCCGATTAAAAAAAAAAAATCTGCCTATCTCAAAATTTACAGCTCCCAAGTAAAAGCTAGATCCTGCATGTTGCTGGAAATCTGAAACAAAAATTGAAAGTGCTGGAGACGCGAGGGAAGGAGGAACAGATAGTGACAATTCCCAAAGGAAATGACAAAGCCGTTGCTAATGGTGGCTCGGTGGTTAGCACTGTTTCCTCACAGCGCGGGGACCTGGGTTTGATTCCAGTCTCGGGCAATTGTACGTGTGGAGTTACACATTTTCCCTGTATCTGCGTGGGGTTTCCTCCGGGTGCTCCAGTTTCCTCCCACTTTCCAAAGATGCACATGCTAAATTATCCTACAGTGTTCAGGGACATGCAGGCTAGGTGGATTGGCCATGGGTAATGCATGGCTATGGGGATAGGGTGGGTCTGGGTGGGATGCTCTTTGGAGGGTCGGTCTTGACTGGATGGGCCAAATGGGCTCTTCCTGCATTGTAGGGATTCTATGATTCTCTGTGAAACGGGTGTAAACGAAGTGTGGAAAGGAGAAAATAGGTCTGCTGTACTGAGATTCAATTCAGCAAGATACAAATAAAAGACATGCATGTTGTATGTTCTGTGTGTGTGTGTGGGTGTGTGTGTGTGTGTGGGTGTGCATGCATATGTGTGTGTGTGTGGGTGGGTGTGCACATGTGTGTGTGTGTGGGTGTGTGCATGTGTGTGTATGCGTGCATGTGTGTGTGTGCGTTTGTGTGTGCTTGTTGTGTGATTGCATGTTGTGTGCGTGTGTGGGGTGTGTATGTGCGTGTGTGTGTGTGTGTGCTTGTGTATGTGTGTGTGTGTATGTGTGTGTGCGTATGTGTGTGCGCATGTGTGTATGTGCCCGTGTGTGTATGTGTGTGTCTGTGTGTGCATGTGTCTGTGTGTGCATGTGTGTGTGCACGCATATGTGTGTGTGCGTATGTGTGTATCTGTCTGTGTGTGGGGTGTGTATGTGTTTGAGTAAATAAGGCAGGTTGCGGAGACGAGTAGGGGGTTTGGAGAGAGGTTTAGAACTGTGCAGGATGTTTGAAAGAAGTTGAGGATACACAGGCCATGCTGTAAACTTGTTGAACTCAGTATTGAGGCCCAGAGGCTTTAATGTGCCCACGTGGAAATGTGGTGTTGCTCCTTGAGCCTGTGGTGTGCTTCATTAGAACCCTGCAGCAGTCTCAAGACAGAAATGTTAGAGCGAGATCTAGGTGGTTTATTGAAATGGTGAGTGGATTATTCCCATGGGCAGAGCAGAGATGTTCACAAAGTGGTCATCCGGTCTGCACTCCATCTCATCAATGCAGCTCCCCCTGACCATTGCTGGGAATCTAACACTGATGGGCTGAATGGCCTTTTCCCAGCCTGGGTAATGGTTCACCCTGCTACTTCGCTGAGTCGCTGGAGCGTGCAAGCCACCCTGCCTTCGGCCATCCCAGAGCAGGATCGCAATTCCCAGCAGTTAACCCAGTTCCCTTTCTATTCCCAAGGTCCAGAGGCTGAACCTGTACCAGGAGGGAGACACCACCTACACCAATCAAAAGCTGGAAGCAGTCAACATCACAAAATGTTGGGATGAATGTTTGGAGAATTCGTCTTTCCACAACAGGAGAAAAGCAGTGGATGATTTTAACAGGTCAGTTACATAAACACTCTTTGCTGTGCATTCCCTTTAACTTGAATGATCAAATTGCTTTCCTCATCTTTGTCAATCAGGTTGTGACCCAGTAGATCACATTCTCACCTCTGACTGACAGCTCAATGTCCTTCCAGAAGCTTGATCCTAAGCCGATATTCCCCTGGACCGCCACACTGTCAGAGACGCTATCTTTAGGATGAGCGCTTCAGCTGTGGATATAAATGTGCCTACAATCAGTGATAGATCGGAAAAGATTATAGAGAGGCTGTGTTCATTGAGAATGACAGCACAGCAGTGAGAGATAACCTTAACTCAAAAGGACAAGGTGTAGAATCTGTTTGGATACAGAAAAGAAATAGGAATGGTAAGAGTTCAGTTGTAGGAATAATTTAGAGGGCCCGAAATGACAATTATGCTCGACAACAGCTCATCTAGGACAAAATAAATGATGCGTGTAAAGAAGGTGCTGCAGTAACCACGGGTGGCTTTAATCTTACATGTGGATTGGGCAAATCAGATTGGTGAAGATAAACTGGAAAGTAAGTGCATTCAAGATAATTTCTTAGATCTGTACCTTCCTGAACAAGAATGGAAGTGGAAATTCTCCCAGTGTCGTGGCAATTTATTTTACTGACAGCTAAACGAATGACATGATCATTTTTGGGCGTTATGAGCTTCCAGATCTCAAACTGGTTGCCACCACCTCTATAGTGCAACAGTGACTGTACTTCAAGTATCCAGTGACCCTTCCTCAGATCTAGACCTTCAAATTCTCCTTTCTCGCTCCACAGACGCTGTCTGAGCTCCTGAGCTTCCCCAGCACTTTCTGATTTTGCTTCAGATCTCCAGCATCCGCAGTTCTTTGCTTTCATTTTGTTAACTATTTCTTCACTCGTCACACCTAGGCAACATCGCTGGAAGAAGAGAGGGCTGGCCATTATTCCAACCAAGTTCGGGATAAGCTTCAATGCCACATTCTTAAATCAGGTAAAGGTTGAGTGTTTGGAGGTGGGTGTGTGGAATACAGGGAGGAGGTAGCACAGGTAGGAAATGGCATTGAGCAAGAGGTCATTAATTACCCCCTTTATTCTTCCATGGGGTGTGAGCATCACTGGCAGGGCCAATGTTTATTGCCCTTCCCTAAATGCAGACTGGGTGACCGCCTCGCCAGCACCTCCCTCTATCTACTGAGAATGATCCTAACCTTCCAATGGCTTATCATTTGAATAAACCGTCTCGCTCCCATGCTAACGTTTCTGAATAGTTTACCAGGCCGTTTGAAAGGGAAGTTAGGAGTCACATGGCTATGGGTCTGGAGTCACGTGTAGGCCAGACCAGGCATGGATGGTAGAGCTCCTTCCGTCAAGAACTTTAGTGAACAAAAACAATTTATTTTACCACAATCGTTTATAGTTTCCTCATCAACATTACATGGCCATCAATTGAATTGAATTCCCACTGACTGCTGTGGCTTTGGAAACATTTCTGCAATAGCCTGGTCCTCTATTGTTGCTACCACCTCTCCCAAATATCTGACTATCTCAATCTCGAGAGATACAATTGTCCCAACTTTTCCAGCTGTGTTCCTTGCCATGAAAATGTGATGACGGGGACATTCAGTAGCAAAGTTAAGGAACGTGAATGGTATGGCTGCTATGAGGAGTCAGCAAGAGTCAGAGAAATGGTGGTGGGTGGGAGTGGGAGCTCCCCTGTTTATAATCGGTGCCTTAATTGTCTGATACTCTGCTTCATTCTGTTATAGGCAGGAGCTTTGGTCCATATTTACACTGATGGCTCAGTCCTTCTGACTCATGGTGGAGTTGAGATGGGACAAGGCCTCCACACCAAGATGGTTCAGGTATGAATAGAACTCAGACTCCCCACTATGCCAGCCAGTCAACACTTTGGGAATATTTGGTGTTTCCTCTTCAATTTATACTCGTATTTCAGGCTGAGACCTGAACATTGAAGGGCATTTGATGTGTCAGAGTGATAAGGAGCTAGGAAAAGATTATAGGGTAATGCTGTTAATTAAGAATGGCTTTTGCACGGTCACAAGAGATGAACTTAACTCAAAAGGGCAAGGTGTAGAATCAGTTTGGATAGAGATAGGAAATAGGAATGGTAAGGGCTCAGTTAAAGGGAATAATTTAGAGGGCCTGAAACAACAATTATGCTCTACAGCAATGCATCTAAGACAAAATAAATGAGGCATGTAAAGAAGGTGCCATGGTAACCATAGGTGACTTTAATCCTCGTGTGAATTGGGGAAATCAGACTGGTAAAAGTAAACTGGAAAGTAAGATCATACAGCGCATTCATGGTAATTTCTTACAGCAGTATGTTCTTGAATGAAAGGCATTTGCAGTGTGACAAGACCAATTAAAAGCCATAAGTTAAAGAAGCTTTCAAGCGATGGTGATTACAAAGTGATAGAAGTGCACAGTGAGAAGTGTGGGTTTAAGACTAGTGTTTTGAAACTAAATGAAGTTGTTCATAAGGATATGAAGACAAATAAGTTGAGGTGAACAAGGGACTAGTTTGAAAGGTAATACAGGGAAGAAACAGCAACACAATTTTAATGCAACATTTAATAACTCTTAGTGACAAAGGAAGGCTCTTTGAGACTAAGTAACCTCATATCTGGAGAAACAAAGCAGTGGGAATAGTATTAAATTAAAAGGAGCACTTTACAATTTGGCAAAGGTTAATGGTAGGCCTGAAGACTGGAGAGATTAGAGGAAGGATATAGAATATGAGAGAAAGCCAGCTAGAAATATACAAACAGATAGAAAACAAAATCTACAAGTATTTATAAAGGAAAAGAACCACTAAAGCAAACATTGGTCTTCAACCAAGTCAGTCTGAGAATTAATAATGGAAAACAGGGAAGTGGAGAAGCATTGACGAGCAGTTTGTATCTGCTTTCAATGGAAGAGATAATTGAACATCACGAGCTGAAAGACAGGGAGGAACTGAAACCAAAATCATTACTGAGGCAAAACCATTCCCTGGGAAAACTATTAAACTGACATGTTAGCAAATTCCGAGCATCTGATGGCCTGTATCCTAGGATCCTGAAAGAGGTAGCTACAGAGATAGTGGATACATTAGTTATAATGAGAAGTACTGAGATGAGGAGAAATTTCTTTACGCAGAGATTGGTGAGCCTATGGTATTCTGTGCCACAGAAAGCAGTTGAGGCCAAACCATTGAATGTTATCAAGGAGGAGTTAGATGTAGCTTTTAGGGATAAACAGACTAAAGGGTATGAGAACAGGGTACAGAGTTGGATGATCAGCCATTGATATTGAAAGGTAGAGCAGGTTGAAAGGGCTGAATGGCCTACTCCCACTCCTATATTCTTTGTATCTATGTTTCTAAATAATCCTCCAAAGTTCCTGGGGATTGTGAAAGGGCCCCAGTGGATTGGAAAACAGCAAATATAACGCTTTCGTGCAAGGAGGGAGAGAGTCAGAAAGCAAGAAACTATTGTTTAACAACGATCAAGAGAAAGTTTGTTACTAAGGGAATTGTAGCACAATAGTTCGAAAAACATAACTGGTCAAGAAAAGTCAACATGATTATGTGAAAGGAAAATCATATTTAATTCATTTATTAGAGTTATTGTAAGAGGTAACAAACAACATGAAGGGAAACCTTTAGATGCAGGATGTTTACTTTGCCAAAAGGCAAATGAAAGGCTACATCTGAGGTTACCACACAGAATAACAGCTCGTGGTCTGAGGTAATAAATTAGCATGCATCAAGGATTAGTTAAAGGATAGGTAGTACAGTGGCAATCTGTTACCTATGGAGCTCCACAGGGCTCAGGGCTGGGGGGGCTCAGCTTTTTACACCCTATTTCTAGGATTTGGATGAGGAGTGTGAATGTACAGTAGATAACTTAGCTAAGGTAGTCAGCAAATAAGTTGTCAAATCAAGGTTAGCAGTCTACAAAAGGATAATAGGTTACATGAGTGGGCACAAATCTGGGAGCTGGAATGCCACATGGGAAAATGTGAAATGGTCTGTGCAGTGATTGTAACAAGGTCAGCCAGGTGGACCTCATTGAGTATGAGTTCCCTGATTGGGGGCTGTTAGCCTGGTCCAATCAGGGAGCCCTGGCTGACAGATATAAACAGTAGTGTCAGAGGTTCTGTTCACTCTGAGAGCTGGCTCTGAAGAGGCAGTACTAGAGTCTAGGATTTTTCATGCGTAAATAGAGGATGACTAGGTGATGGGATAGTGACATCTGTGGAATTTATCCAGTCCAGTTTGGCAGAGAGATTAGAAAAGCTGTATAATGATTAAGAACATAACATAAGAACATAAGAACTAGGAGCAGGAGTGGGCCATCTGGCCCCTCGAGCCTGCCCCGCCATTTAATAAGATCATGGCTGATCTTTTTGAGACTCAGCTCCACTTACCCGCCCACTCACCATGACCCTTAATTCCTTTACTGTTCAAAAATTTATCTAGCCTTGCCTTAAAAACATTCAGCGAGGTAGCTTCAACCGCTTCACTGGGCAGGGAATTCCACAGATTCACAACCCTTTGGGTGAAGAAGTTCCTCCTGACCTCAATCCTACATCTGCTTCCCTTTATTTTGAGGCGATGCCCTCTAGACCTAGTTTCACCTGCTAGCGGAAACAACCTCCCTGCCTCCACCTTATCCATTCCCTTCATAATCTTATATGTTTCTATAAGATCTCCCCTCATTCTTCTGAATTCCAATGAGTATAATCCCAGTCTACTCCGTCTTTCCAACCCTCATAATCCAACCCTCTCAACTCTGGAATCAACTGAGTGAATCTCCTCTGCACCCCCTCCAGTGCTAGTATATCTCTTCTCAAGTAAGGAGACCAAAACTGCACACAGTACTCCAGGTGTGGCCTCACCAGGACTCTATACAGCTACAGCATAGCCTCCCTGTTTTTAAACTCCATCCCTCGAGCAATGGCAGACAAAATTCCATTTGCCTTTTTAATTACCTTCTGCACCTGCAATCCTACTTTTAGCGATTCATGCACAAGGACACCCAAGTCCCTCTGCACAGCAGCGTGCTGCAATTTTTTACCATTTAAAACATAGTCCATTTTGCTGTTATTCCTACCAAAATGGATGAACTCACACTTATCAACATTGTACTCCATCTGCCAGACCTTTGCCCACTCACTTAGACTATCTATATCCCTCTGCAGACTTTCAGTGTCTTCTGCACACTTTGCTCTACCATTCACCTTAGTGTCATCTGCAAATTTTGACGCACCACACTTAGTCCCCAACTTCAAATCATCTCTGTAAATTGTAAACAATTGCGGTCCCAACACTGATCCCTGAGACACACCACTAGCCACTGACCACCAACCAGAAAAACACCCATTTACCCCTACTCTTTGCTTTCTACTTGTCAACCAATCCTCTATCCATGCCAATACATTACCTGTAATACCGTGCAACTTTATCTTGTGTAGCAGCCTTTGGTGTAGCACTTTGTTAAATGCCTTCTGGAAATCTAGATACACCACAACCACAGGTTCCCCACTGTCCACCATGCAAGAAATGTCCTCAAAGAATTCCACCAAATTAGTTAAACATGACCTACCCTTCATGAACCCATGCTGGGTGTTTCCAATGGGACAATTTATATCCAGATGTCTTGCTATTTCTTCCTTAATGATAGATTCAAGCATTTTCCCCACTACCGAAGTTAAGCTAACTGGCCTATAGTTACCTGCTTTTTGTCTACTTCCTTTTTTAAACAGTGGCGTCACATTGGCTGTTTTCCAATCTGCGGGAACCACCCCAGAGTCCAGTGAATTTTGGTAAATAATTACTAGTGCATTTGCTATTTCCCCCATCACCTCTTTTAGTACCCTGGGATGCATTTCATCACGGCCAGGAGACTTGTCTACCTTTAGCCCCATTAGCTTGCCCAGCACTGCCTCCTTAGTGATAATGATAGTTTCTAGGTCCTCACCTGCTATAACCTTCTTGCCATTAGTTTTCGGCATGTTATTTGTGTCTTCCACTGTGGAGACCGACACGAAATAACTGTTTAATGTCTCGGCTATTTCCTCATTCCCAGTTATTAAATTGGCCTTCTCATCTTCTAAAGGACCAATGTTTACCTTCGCCACTCTTTTACGATTTACATATTTATAGAAACTTTTGCTGCCTGTTTTTATATTCTGAGCTAGTTTACTCTCAGAATCTATCTTACTTTTCTTTATAACTTTTTTTGTGGCTTTCTGTTGGCCTTTAAAGATTTCCCAGTCTACTAGTTTCCCACTACTCTTCGCTTTTTTGTATGTGTTTTTTTTTCAATCTGATACTTTCCTTTATTTCCTTAGACATCCATGGCTGACTCTCTCTTTTCCTTCAGTTCTTCCTTATCACTGGAATATACTTCTGCTGAACACTGTGAAAAATTGTTTTGAAAGTCCTCCACTGTTCCTCAATTGACCCACCATAAAGTTTTTGCCCCCATTCTACCTTAGCTAACTCCTTTCTCATTCCTTCACAGTCTCCTTTGTTTAAGCACAGGACATAGGTACTGGATTTAACCTTCTCACGCTCCGTCTGTATTTTAAATTCAACCATACTGTGATCGCTCCTTCCGAGAGGATCCCTAACTGTGAGGTCATTAATTATTCCTGTCTCATTACACAGGACTAGATCTAGGATAGCTTGCTCCCTCGTAGGTTCCATTACATATTGTTCGAGGAAATTATCGTGGATGCATTCTGTGAACCCGTCCTCAAGGCTGCCATGACCAACCTGGTTTGACCAATTGATATGTTGATTAAAATCCCCCATGATAATTGCTGTACCATTTTTACATGCATTAGCTATTTCTATGTTTATTGCCCGCCCCACCACAATGTC